ATTCAAAACAGTGTACACTACAGATTTTGAATTAACAGAGCATGCAGACAATGGACAACAAGATTATCTGTTGAGTACTAAACACAATGTAGCTACTGAGCCTTAGTAGACAATCCTAGAAGGGCCCCCAAGTCCAGAAGTTACTATTAACATGCTAGAGAATAAGTCCTTGTCTGTTACAGGCTGGAGACAATCTGATGACCCTTTGCTAGGTGATAAGTCCTTGTCTACACTAGGCTGGAGGCACCCTGATGAACTATTACATACAAGTAATGTAGAACAAAGGTATGTACCTGTACTAGCACATATTGTTAGACTGATACACACTATAGAGTAGACACTAGCAAGTGCTTACCTTACTAGGCTCACAGAAGTAGATAATAGTGGTACAGAGAGTGTAAACACTCAGGAAACTGGTATTGAGGATTCTGTCAGTAAGAACAAGGGTATTAGTAAAAGAACAACACTTTCCTTACAGTAGGAAATGTTCTAGAAGGCTAGAAAGACATTCAGAAACGTCCCTAGGCTAGAGACACTGAAAGCCATGAGTAGGCTAGCTAGTCCATTCAATCAAGGAATTGATATTAAGGAATTGAACAAGAGAACTCATAAGTACAATAGTATGTATTAGGAACATGAAGGAAACATTGATTTGGACACAATTGATCCATCCAAACTAACTGGAGACAAGTTAGCTAAATGGATGTATCAGAAAGTACATTGTTGACACTCAGAAGCTACTAAAGGAATGCCCAAACAATTGGAAGATACTCTACAGTTTGAAAGCACACATTCTTGGAAGAAAGATACAAGTAAACCTGTACCTAGCAATAAGAAAAGTGTAAGAGCAAATAAAGGAAAAGCTCCAGACATTTGTAATTACAGTCAGGTAGAACTAGACAGTTCTAGCAAAGCAGATTCTAATGTACAAAGAATGTATTTTCAGGAGATAGAGTACAGACAAAAAGCAGAATCAGGACAATAGAATTTTAGAAACAAAGGCTACAGTAAGGCTCCTAGAACTCCTCAGGAATTACTAGTTTGTTTCAAACAAGAAACGTATTACCCTAAGATAGAAAATCAAGGCAAGGACACATACTACAGATACAACACCCTAGCAGGGCAAGGAGACACATTGTAGAATAAAATACCATATATGCTCTATTTCCAGATATAGGATGTGAGTCAATGTTTTCCATGCTTGCAACTGAATACATTGGCTCAAACAATTCAGGATTAAAGATATCCTCTATCTCTAATAGTTCCTAATGATTGTAAACGTATTTGGCTGAATATTGAGCTTGTCTGAGTAGAGAATACTATTCTCTGACATCAAATCTGTTCAGAAAAGTAATCTTAACAGGTAATGTGTACTCATTTCTGTTCTCCCAATTGTCAATGATTGTAAACTGTATATCTGTACTTCTGAAAACATAGAATCGATTGTATAAATACTTGTTCCAAAGTATTCTGTTGTATTTCCAGTCAAAACAGTACAGAATTCCTTCTATAAGACATTTAGTAATTCCAAAACATACTGTATCATTATATTCACTGTAGAAATAGCCATTTCTGTAGATTGATCTCATTCTCCTCTAATTTCTCTTTCTAAGTTCAGCATTTACGAGGGGAATCTTTAATTCTGAAGTGTCAGAAAAGGTTTGTGGCTTCAAATCTGATTGTTCTAGACCAAATACTTGTAAAATAGTATTGTAACCAGCTAATGAATTGTAATTCTCATTCTTCTGAGTTGTAGATTCATAACTATTGTCTGAATAATGTATCTGAATAGCTATAGATTGTATTTGCAACGTAGAAGATGATGGATCCATTGTATTGTCTACTATAAGATCCAAATCCAAGTAATTATTGTCTTCCAAAGTATTGGTTAACTTATCTAGAGCAGAATAATTGATATTAACACTCTTAGACAATGTATTTGTATTAGAAACACTGTTCAGCTTTACTGTACTGTGTGTAGGACAATCTTTAGCTAAATGTGTAGTCTGTTTACAAATAAAACATTGTCCTTTAGCTCTCATATTGTCTAGTTCAGCTTGTGAATACCTTTTCACACCTGTAGAATAAGTCTTCTTACTGTTCTCTTGCTTATTCTGCCTAGTATCTTTGTACTTCAGTTTGTAGTCCTTAGATCAGTCTTTCTCTTTAGGACTTACACTGTTAGACTGTATACACTGCCTGTTACAATTATTACAATTATAATCATAATTCCTGTCCTTTAGTCAATTCTTATTATTATTCCTATAGTTCCTCTAGTTGTTCTTCTTCCATCTGTCTTTTCAATGGTCTTCTTTGTTACTCTGAGGATAGAATCAATCTCTAGTATCTGTATGCCATTTAATTCCAACAGCTTCATTTGCTTTTTTAATGTTCTCAAGCCTGTCTTTGAATTCTTCATACAAAACTGTGTCTGGATTCAAACAATCCAACTGTAATTGCCTTTGATACTTAGGATGAAGTCCATCCTATGCTCTCCTGGTTAAATCTCTATTGGAAATATTGTCTAGATTGATTACTTTCATTTCTAAATTGTACAAATATTCCTGTATAACTCTGTGTTCTTGTTTTATTGTATTAAACTCTTTCCTAAGCATTTCTACAAAGTTAGATAGGAAACAAAAGTCTATTAGACCTTTAAAGAATTGTGATAAGGTCCATTGAGATTCGTTCATGCCTATTTTCTGTAGATAGAAGTCTATAGCTTGTCCTTTAATGAAATTAGGTAGTACTCCCACTTGTTCTTTAGGGAAATAATGTAAACCTGATTACTTCATGTACTGATTGACTTCCATGACAAACTTGGTGTATCTTTGAAGGTTAGGTTCACCTGAATATACTGTAGGAACAATAGGTTTTGTACTCTACATCTGTATCTTCAATTTCAGAAGTTCCTTGTTCTATTTCCTCTTAACAAGCTTTTTACACTTCTTAGTACTTTCAGAGTTGCTTGAATCAATGTCTGTAGGTTTGAATAATGTATTGCTATCATTACTATTGTCAGAACTTGAGTATCTGCTTGAATCCAAAGAATCCAAAGAGCTATTGCCTGGATCTGAGTCAGGATCCTACCTTTTTACAATTTCTACTCTCTGTATTGCACAATTCACATAACTCTTTCTTGCAAGGTTGTCTAAGGGTCTCACTGATGTGAATCTATTTGTCTGTAGTGTATTCAAGCTTTGTGGCTCAGTAGTATCTTGTGTAGTTCTTTTTCTGTAGCCTTTGCTATTCCTATCTGTACTATGCTTGATAGAGGGTACAGAACTGTAGTGAAAATTCTTTTCCTCACTCTCTTTGCCTTTTACAGTTTCTGATTCGTCTTCACTGTCATCAGAGGCATTTAGAACTGTAAGTTTCACATCTGGGTTCAGTCTATTCATTTTAATATTGTGTTTTACACTGGGTGTATGTAGTGATCCTTGAACATTAGTATGATAGTACATATATGTAGTATGATTTACCTGTGCAAATCCACATTATAACTACTAACTTCAATGATTTTAATACAATTGAGCATACTACAGCTTATACTAAGGACTTTAAGAGATCAATACCATGTCCTATCATAATTACAATCAAAATCAATAGAGAATTAGTAAGAGTATTAATTGATTCAGGATCATTAGCAGATTTCATGTCCACCAAGTTTGCAGACCAAATAGGCATTAGGAAACTCACATTAGCTAAACCTCTACCTATACAATTGGTAGTACAAGGCTCTAGATCGAAAGTAAACTATTGTACCAATGCTAGAATACAATACAGAGAGATAAACACAATACAGCACTTTGATATCATGAATTTGGATAACTATAATATTATACTAGAAACACTGTTCCTCTTCCAACACAGAATTTCTATTGGTTTCAATGAGTCTAGACTATGGATTGAAAGTGTAATACCTCTACCAATAACAGGAGAACAAGTCACAGTCGTTTCATCAAAGGTTATTAATACTTATGATTGAGAAATTAACAAATGTAGACAAGAAATCAAGCAATATACTATAGATCTGTTTAAAGACACTTTAGAAACGCCTCTACCACCTCTAAGAGCCATTAATCATAGTATACCACTCATAGATGAGGATAAGAAATACAAGTTCTGTAGGGCAACTTGTCCAGATCCTTTGAGAGAGCAATAGTAAAACAAGAGAAAGGACTATATTCAATTAGGAAGATGGAAAGTAGTTACAGGATTGAACACAATGCCTATGCTACTACTTCAAAAGCCTAGAAAGACCAAGGAAGACTCTATACAATTGAGAACCATCATTGATCTTAGAGAGTACAACAAGAATACTAAGAAACTATCATCTCCTTTACTAGATATTAAATCAGTATTAAGGAGAGTAGCTTCTAAGAAGTATAAATTGCTCATTGATGGCAAAGACACGTATGAACAGATTAGAATAATCCCTGAGCATGTAAACAGATTAATATTCAACACTCTGGATGGAACAATAGTTAGTGAAGTAATGCAATTAGGTGATTGTAATAGTGGAGCCACTGTAAGGATTTGATTTACTGGTTCGTATTTTATTACTACTACATTGCTGATCGCGTCAGATCATCGCGCAGTGGGACCCACAAGCGCATATATTCTCATTGTAGTTAGTTACACTTCCTCCTCATGTATCTACACGTGTATACCCCTATAAAAGACAGTATCGACCGCTGGGTAAAGGGGATTCTTTTCCCCTGACCCCTCGCTCGAGTACTAGGTTATCCCAGTCAGTAGTTGAGTGAACTAAGGGCGATTAGAATTCTCTTGTGAGGAACAGTGAGTTTCCTTACATATTTTTGACTGTACCCACCTAGCACCGAAACCCCGTGCTGGACGCTGAGGAACCGAAGGGTCTGATCAACCCTAGGTCTCCCTCGTCGTCTAGTACCCCTCAGGAATGTTTAGTGAGTAAAGTTACGATTTTCGAGTAGAATCAGAGACTACTTACTGGATTGGCCCCCAGTAGGTTCACAATGCTTCGGAACGCTGCGGAACGCTTCTGGAACGCATTAGCACATATCGATATGGACCAGCGCTGGATACGCTGGAGGTTCGCATCGATCGGATGGGTCGAGGACCAGGCATCCGTGACGGCGAAAAGGAACGAACAGGTGCGCATCGAGTTTACAGGCAATGGACAACAAGATTATCCATTGAATATTGATTACAATGTGGCCGCCGAGCCTCGACTGACGATTCCCGGAGGGTACCCAAGTCCGGATATCGATACTAACATGCCAGGATGTAAGTCCTCGTCCCTCGTGGGCTGGAGGCAACCCGATGAACCTATACCAGGTGATAAGTCCTCGTCTACACAAGGCTGGAGGCACCCTGATGAACTACTACATACCAATAACGTAGAATTAAGGCATGTAACTGTACCAGCGCATATAGTTAGACAAACGCGCACTGTAGAGCAGACACCAGCGAGTATTGACACTACTGGGCTCAAAGAAATAGCAAATAACGGTACAGAGAGCGGAAACGCTCAGGCGATTGTTCTTGAGGATTCAGACAGTCGAGTTCAGGATGAACAGGCGATTGGATTCGAGGATTCGTCCAATCGAGTACAGAAGGTCGAGTTTGAGGATTCAACTCACCGAGTACAGGCGATTGAGCTTGAGGATTCGCTCTATCGATTTCAGGCTACCGAGTTTGAGGATTCACTCGATAGAGGACAGGCGATTTGGTTTGAGGATTCACCAAGTCGATATAGAGAGCTAACGGCGAGCATCGAGGAATTTGCAAGCCAATACAAGGAGTACATCGTGCATATAGTCAGTATCAGTGAGAGCGTGGATGAGTATCCAGTGAGCGCACTTACTTCAGAACGGAAACACATCGACAACAGCGATGTAGAGGGCAATAAGACATCTAAGACCCTTTTAGGCAGCGAAGAAAGCAGCCAGGACTCAGAACACAAGAGTAACAAAGGCCAGGAGAGCCAGGCATCGGAACTACAGAGATCCGATGAGGAACAAGATTTCCAGAAGGCAAGTAAGACCTTCAGACACATCGCAAGAGACAGAGCGATTGAGATAGACATAGGACATGTCAGCCCATTCCACAGTTCGATAGACATCGATGATTTGAATAAGAGAACGTACAAGTTCGATGGAATGTATCAGGAAGAGGAGAAAGCAACTCCTTCATCAAACAAGAGCGGACTCGATAGTATAGCAACGGAAAAGCGCGAAACGCTTCAGGCAGGCTACAGAACGAAAGCCAGACATGCCATAGTACCCACAGACAGTAGAGATCATAACTATCGATCTAAGAGTGTAGAAGAAACGCTCAAGAGTCCAGACAAACGATCGCATTCACAGAAAGCGAAAGGAAAGTGCAAAGCGAAAGGAATACGCAAAGCACAAGGAACGGAACGAAAACCGGAACTGCCAGGCATTCAATACGATTGTGAAATCGATTCAGACTATCCAAGCGAAACGGACATCGCATTGACAGAACAGTACTTTGAGGATAGCAAAAGTGAACGCAAATTGGAACTACAGGGATCAGTACTTGATCCAGAGGGCGAAAACCAAGCATACACCCACGAAATCGAGTGTTTAACCTCATACATGGTAGATATCGACTACGCATTGCACAGGAGCAATGTACAGGAGTACTACAACGGATACGACACCCTAGCCAGGTCCAGGAATAAGAGAGAAAGCGAAATACCTGGATATATGCGGTCTCAAATGGAAATACCAAGTTTTTCAGGGCATCAGAGCATACATCGCATTAAATCCGTGAACAAACGATCCCATAGCGATACTTCGCGATTGAAAGCAGTCCCAGGCAAGGCATACACTAGTTGTATTAGTGAGAACAATATCGATTCAGAGCGCAGCAAACTACGCAGTTCAAAGCCACATATCGAGCGCAGCAAGCATAAGAATAGCTCCAACCGTAGTTCAAGAACGAACAATGGACACAGGCATAGCGAAGCACCGAATAATGTTCAGAAAGGCATATTTGCATCAGTAAGACCTTCAGAGAGCCTAGCAAACAATAGCTACGCATACAGAGCGATACAGAGCTCTAGGATACAGAGAAATGGAAATCTTGACCCAGGATCAGACCCAGACAGCGATAATTCGGATTCCTCTTCATCCAATGACTACAATCGAAGTAATGCTTTATTCGAACTGTCAGACATCGATTCGAGTGATACTGAAGCTACTAAGAAGCGCAAGAAACGCTTGAGGAAGAAACGGAACACAAGTTCAGGCAGGCAAACTACGCATTTGAAAGGGCGAATTCAGTATATTCGAGACCCTATGAGACTACAGCACTTAGGCATCGTACTACAGGCATTCAGTACAGGAATAAGCATCGCAGGAAGTCTAAACATCGAGATAGACGATTGTATACAGCATACAATGACATTTTACCCTCGAAAGCACAGGCATACAGTGTAGAAAGGACTCTACAAGACTACGGACACGCATGGCACATGGAAAGGACTAGGAAACACGCATACAACCATCGTTTCAAGGAATCTAAGACGCTACAGGCGCAAGGCAACGCATACATGGACATTTCAGAGACACTACTACCAATTCTTAGAGCCACAAATCGAAACAACGCTCTTAAGAAATACAGGCTGTTCACAGACAACAGGAATGCGTACCAGGACATCAGGAAAGGACCTGAGAATGTTAGACGATCGGAATATAACCAGCCAGATAGTATTATGGTTTACAACGCGATGCAAATAGTAAACTGTGCAAGCAGGACAATCTATCAAGCATTACTGGACTATAAACTACGACTACTCTTGGATACTGAGAAATATTTCAATCCAAACGATTCACACAGGTATTCTATTAAGTTAGAAGGCTACATCATGCATCGGAAGACAGACATCGGCACATTGAGCAAGGCAAAGTGCATATACATCGAGAATACGATGATACCGCTTCAGAATAAGCATCAGGCATGGAGATACATCGACAGCGATAGAAAGACACAGACATACGCATACACAGTCGATTCTATTCAGTACAGGGAGAGATACAGGATTAGTATCGAGTACTACAAAGGAACTACGTCAGTTGACATCGGAACAGACATTTCCATCTTCAGGATTGAAGAAACGGTCAGTAATGAGCACGATCGAAGTAATTCGCATAGAACAACGTTCTATAAGGTACAATTGGATGTTACGCTACGCAACCATTCAGTTCATGACGAAGAATTGTTCAGAAACGTCAGAACCAGCTCAGACTACAAGGATATATTGTACAGAACACAGTTTCAGGAGAACATAAGGTATTACATCGCGAAATACATCTTCAGACAGCCAGGATTCATTGGAATAGACTCAGGACACTCTATCAGACGTATTATGGACATCACAGGCACTCAAACGGATGCGCTAGCGCGCATATACTCAGGATACATAGTAGGAATCAGGATATTCAAGCTACAGGATGACAATTACGATCTACAGGATGTAAAACCGCTACGATCTATGCAACATAATGATAGTAAGACACTATTGAGATCAGGAACAATCACGCATCGTATGGAACGAAGTACAGAAGTTCAGAGGGCGACTTCAAGCCAGAGAACAGGTTCGGAACCCGGACAATCCGCTCAATCCGCTCAATCCGCTCAAACGGATTATCACACCGCTTCAAGGGAAAGTGAAGGCAATACGCATACAGCCAGCGAATATCAGAGCGATAGTGAATTAGCAATGATCGATCAGACTATTCGAGCATTCAGGCATGATACTTCGACGATACAGAAGGAAATAGAGCATCAGGAAGCTCAAGGACATCTATTGAACGATGATACAGTTCAATCTACTCTAGGAATGAGTAGTTACGATCAGTTCGAAGTACGAAAACACGCAGAAGACCTCTCCAGACACCCCAGATATGTTCTAGGACAGTACCAGACGTTTTACGCCGAAAATGAAGTCATATTTCGACGAGAGGGCGAGAGGCACACGCATTGCACTGCATACACGCTCTTTGAGCATACAATCATGTTTGAACATACATTTTTCTTACTTGAATTGCTACAGAACGATTTTGCGAAGGACTTCGCAGTACCAGACAGTATCAGTACTACAGGAAACAGGACACACGACAGGTACACGAGGAAAGAATACATCGGCACAAGGACAAGTACACAGAAAGACAGGAAGTCAATGCTAGAACGCATCGATCCACACATGGATTTGCCAAATGAACAAAGAATTGGCAGCATACACTCAGGACTTCAGGCAGCGCTACTGCGCATACAGACAGGACATTTCATTGAGACATACATGGAACAACGCAGCATACAGACAGCTACGGCACTCAGGAAAGTAGAGAACGCTACTTGGACACATTGTGATAGAACATCGCGCCATGAGACATTGAAAGTATACTCAGACGATTCAGGAATCGAATCAGTCGACTTACGAAGACACGAACGAGTCGAGACACAAGGAAACAGTATGAGAATACAGCAGGACATTCATCGCGCACAGAGATACCGCGCATATACACACATATCTAGTGATATTAGGCTCATACATCACGATCTCATTGAATTCGAGACGATATTTTCATTCAAGGATGAATATTACACTCTAGGTTGCACTCCGCAATTAGTATTCAGACATCGGGCTCAACAGGATATCCAGTTTTGCGTCACAGTTGGTTATTGCACGCAAAAGAATACACATTTGGACATATTCTACCAATACAAGCGCAAGGCACTACATTTGCAGGAACTAGTCTATTGGAAAAATCGAGGACATAGCAGAGGAATTTTGGAATACATCTCCGCTATCTATTATTGCATGACTATTCTACAGGAACAGAGAAACGCGCAAGGACAGCTAGAAGCAGCAACGCTAATCCATTCTATTGAGGAAGAAGGCTATAGCTTCGTCGATCAGGGATTTACCTCCGCGCTTCCCGAAGACGCGGGAGAAGAGAATATTTGCAATTACCACGCCGCCGGAATTTCCACTTCCGTACATATCGATCTACACCGCGCGTCTCAGAATACTCAAGAGCCGAAACGCCATATCTCCCCAGGAACTCCACCGATTCTCTTCGAAAAGTGTCGTATCGATAGCGACAATCAAGAGGCAACTTTTCTACTAATTGACTATACGGTAATATTGACTACGTTTAATTCTATTGACGTTTTATCTAGTTTCACATGGTTTGGAACCATGCTACCCACCGTCCGGAACGCCACCACCGTCTCAATACTCACCGGATCGACTTCAGATCACTTCAGAGAGGCAGTACTACATCACGAGGATGTTTCCCATACGCATGGGCAAGGTATTTTATTATTTACTTGTTACTAACTGTTACTTTAAGTAAGTTCACCG